AAAAAAAAAAAAAAAAAAAAAAAAAAAAACAAAAAAAAAAAAAAAAAGAAAGAAACGAACTGTTGCAACGAGTGTCCCGGAAATTTTGGTTGACATTTTTTTCCGGACACGCGCAAAGTGAGTTTCACGGTGCTTCGTGGGGGCTTCTTCCGTTTCGTTTCCGTTTTGTCTCCTTGCACACTTTCTTCTTCTTCTAGTGGTCGACGCGTAAACGAGATGTTCTTCGAAAAGCTACCGCCGCTTTTCGCATTTTTTAACAAAATACACAAAGTTCGCACGGTCATATATATAAATATATATATATATATACATAACGAATATGAGATGGATCACAGAATGGTGTTATCTAGGTGTGTGTTCAATCGTCTGTGTTCCGTGAACAGACACGAACCCTTTTTTTCGAAAGGTTTACCCTGACGAACGAAATAAGTTGTTTGGTCGTGTTCTTCCGTTCCCTTTTCTTCGTCTAGTTTGCTTTCTCGAAAAATACTTGTTTTGAAAGAGGACATCAAAAAAGTAAAATAAAATAAATAAATATATAAATCGAGTCCGTTTTCTTGGACTTTCCCAAAAGAGTAAATGAAATTTACTTAAAGAATCTTTCGATGGATCATTCCGTTTGTCATTTCTCTCGTATTATCCTTGATCGTTTCTTCTTTGTTGTTTTCAAAAAATTGTGTCACGGTATCGAGGAAAAACGACTTGGTCGATTATAGATGGAAACTGGTCGAGTCTCGTGATCCATGTGTGTTTAAATAATTTATATTTTGCCGGAGATATATAATACTTGGTTTAGAACAGGGGGGAAGATAGAACAATTCCTTTTCACGTATATTTCAATGCGTTTAAATGTAAATCGAGAGACGGAAAGACTGTCGGTAAATCAATTGCTCATACCGGAAACGCGATATATAAATTATTTAAAAAATAGTGGCAACGAGAGAGAAGATAATCGTCGTACGAGCTCTGTATAGAATCAAAGATCTTAAATGCACGTTACTCCGGAACGGGTCAACCCTCTTGATCGCGTCTTGGATCCCGCCAGTATTATACGCCTCTCCAATACATCCTCCATCCGAGATATAGAAATCAGCGTTAAGATATCGTACAAAAGAAAAAAAAAAAAAAATATATCACGCGATTATAATTCGTTAAGTGAATTTAATAAAGATAAATTCAGCATGAAAGAAATAAAATAGAAAATATTGATATTTTCGCGTGCTGGATCGATATCTAAAAAAACTAATCGAATCTCTCTTATCGACACACACTCTGTACTATGGATAGAATTTTAAAGAAAAAAAAAGAAAAAAAAAAACGGAAAAAAAAACGGAAAAAAAAAAGAAAAAAAAACCAGACGACAATCAAAGGTTTGATCTTTGACCGCGTATCATAATCGATCGCGTGTTTCCGCGAGGGCATCGATCATCGCACAAGAGCGCACATTGTGAAAAATAGCGAGTGGAAGCGTGTAATAGGATGGTTAAACGCGAACAGAGGAAATTAGTGGTAAAGTTTAAGGCAGCTTTTAAGTTTCGAAAGGTAGAGGGGGAGAAGACGATTTTTAAAACAAAGAGAGAGGTGCTTATTAGATCTCGAGATGATCTCTTAATATCGAAGATACATTCCATCCGAGTACGAGGGCTCTGGCGCGGAATAAAAAAGACTTCCTTTTCTCGTCTACGACATTCCAAGCTTATTTTTTTTTTTTTTTTTTCTACTTTTAATATTTCCTCGCTTTCCACTTTTCTCTTTCCTATTCTTTCTTTTTTTTCTTTTTATTTGTCTTTAATATTAATTTTAATGTTAATAATTTCTCAAAGTCGAGACTGAACGTTCGATTTATTCGGTGAATGATTTTTAGAGAAGAAGACAGAAGGTTGTCGGTGATTTTTGATCGATCACGTAGACGAGGATCGTCGAATTTTTGCCCATTCCATGACCCTCGAGGTACAAAATTCGCGATTAATAATCGTACGTAATTATATTTAGACGCGGTTTCTAAAAACAGATCGATCTCGAACAGACGCGTTCCCGTAAGTTAAACCGCCAAAAAGACATTTATCCTTTTTCTATCGAAAGGACAGGGATTTCTATAGGGAATTGAATGAAAGTTTATTCATCGACAGTATTAAAATAAGGGGAATTTTTCGCGGAGAGACGAAATATTCAAATGAATAAACACACTTGTAGAATTATTTTCAAAAACTTGACACCAATTAATATTAGGTTGATAATCGAACCTAAATTACTTCTCTGAAATATGATAAATAATCTTCGTTTTTTTTTATTAATTTAAAAAGAAATCAAAAGAAAAAATTAATTATTAAATTTTGTTTAATTTTTACTGCATAAGTATCTTTTTTTTTTTTTTTAGAAAAATCTTATTCGCTATATAAACTATAGTGGAATTCTTTTGGAATGGTGTTTAGTTTCGAGAAATGATTCTACGTGTGATCGATAATTACCAGTGTAGATGATCCTCGACGCATTCGAGGGAATCGACTTTCTACACTCGCAGTTGTCGCAATGATTCCGTATTAACTATTATAATACCAGATTTTACCATTATGATATTATAACGTTGTATGTATAAGTGTTCATAAAAAAAAAAAAAAAAATTATTATCACCCAGGATAAACGCAGTGCAATACATTCATCGTTCTCAGTGAATTTCTTCAAAGGCGTGTGTGGAATACATCCATTGAGCAAAAAACAATGCAAAAAAAAAAATATAATAAAAATAAAAAAAAACAAAACGAAACAAACGAACGAACGAACGAAAAATTTATAAAAAAAAGAAAAAAGAAAAAAGAAGACGAAAAGCTGCGCGCCTCCTTTCTTTCATTTCACGCGAAATTAGACGCGATTCGAATCAATGGAAAAAAAAAAAAAAAAAAAAAAAAGATCAAAGAGAACGGTGCTCGAGATCGAGAAAATTTCGCGATCCAAAAAAACAACAAATTAGATTAAAAGCAACTACAAGATAATATACGTTGACCATATTAAGAGACAGTAAGTTTTGACGGTCTGTTCATAAGGACAAAAATATTAAAAAAAAAAAAAAAAATATTTTAAAAAAGGAAAAAAAAAAAAACGCGAAAACACTCGTTGATTTTCAAAGGGATCACGATCGAACGTGAAATCTGTCCGACTGTTACGAATTGTCTTTATAATAAAACGTTTACAGCTTTAATGGGAAACAACCGTAGACGTAAGTGAACGGAGGGCACTAATCTAACAAGAAACAAAAAGCAGAATCGAAAAGAAGAAAAAAAAAAGATGATTAAAAATAACACAAAAAAAAACATAATAAATAATATAGAAGAAAACGAAATAAAAAGAGAGAGAGAGAGAGAGAGAGAGAGAGAGAGAGAAAGCGAGAAAGAGAGTGAAAGAGAGAATGTGAGAGAGAGCGAGAGAGCGAGAGAACGAGAGAGAGAGAGTGAAAGAGAGAAAGAAGAAGGACGAACGAAAAACGCAAGGGAAGCTATTCGTCACCCTCGAATTTTTCTGTCTCGAAATAAATACCGTTGTCTTTTGATTGTCGTTTTAATGGACAAAAAACCATAAACTATGAATGATTTTGTAACTTAAGGAAATATAAGTTGCTCTTAAATCTGACACGGACATGACTTCTTTCACCCGCAATTTTCTCGATGACACGCTTACGTTACTTACTACTCGCCTTCTCGTTTCATCCACGTCTCTGT